TCCTTATAGTACATTATTGTAATAATCTAATAAAATATTAATGATATAATTTACTTCTCTTATTTAAAATTGGTATAACCAAACCAAAGGAATATGGTTTACATTTATTTCTGTGCTCTGTGTTATAACCAAAAATATTCGTTTTTGTATCTTATTCGACTAGAGCTTCGCTCTTTTTTCCTGCTTTTCGGATTGTCGGATGAAATATCACAGTGCGTAGGATTATCTTTGGTGCAATTGGTCTTTGTTTGGCAGTCCCTGTGATATCTTTGTGTGGAACTTCACCGGAATCGCCGTCGAGTGAGTTGAACGAATGGCGCTTTTGCAATACCTCGTCCCGTTCATGCATTATTATCGTCGCGCTGAAACGTTGCGACCCGTCGGGCAAAACGCATTACGCGATAATCCCAATAATATCGATATTTCGACGGGCCGCTCGAAATGCGCCGAAACAAAAGCGAGTCGACATAAAAGTGACGAGCGAGCGTTCATTTCGCTTCACAGTCTGCTGCTAAAAACGGATACGTCGATTTTCAATTAAGCGCAAAAATGGAAAATCCCCTCTCTCTCTGGATACGCGCCAGTTAAGCGAGGTCTATCGTGCAACCGACCAGGTTCGAACGGCGGATCGGCTTTTAAAATGCCGTCGAAAAAACGGCTGGGCGTCAGATCGCATTGAAAACTCAATTTAAGCGTTAAGGCTATCCGTACCCGTACACGTGCAAGTAAATTATCGACGAACGTAAAACCTGATCGCTTCCGTAGTATAATACGACCAAAAATATAGTGCGTGTATTGCTCTGACGTTTACAGTACAGTACAGTATTTTACAGTACCTTAACCGCAGACCTTCGCCGGACCATAGTAAAACTCAACCCCACAGATGTTTATTCTGCAATGAGTAGGCCTTGCCTGAGATAGACCGTAACGAATATTTGTAGAAAATTTTTATTTGAAACTTAAATGTATGTAAACCTAAATGTAAATGTAAATTTGATTAAGCCTTCATTTGCGAGATATTTTCGAATAAGCAGAAGCGTTTATTTTAACATCAGATGATATGTTAAAATATCATATGTTATGAGTTTATTTGACACTAGCGGAGCGAGTGTTTAATAAACGAGTGAGTTAAAAAGTTTACCAAACGTGTTGCATACTATGCTTTTTCTACGACATGACTGTCTTCAATTGACAAAAGAAAAATGTACTGAGCGACTTAAACACTAGTTGGTATTTCGCAATGGAGGGAGGCCACTAATGTATTTAGACGCAATGTGGTTCGACACTCACGACACAGTAAAAAAAAGGATGGCGTGATAACAGTAACAGTGTGTACTAGACGCGGCGCCTTCACATGGAAAACGCATAATAATTCTTCATGCTGGACCCAAAATGGATGGGTGGAGGATGTCTTACTTTTGTCTACCAAAAACGTCAAAGATTCAAGTGTAGAACATGACCGAGGAAACATCTAAAGACCGGTTTGAAATACACTGTTGCCAAAACTATCGCCAAATACTGTTATTATTTTTGATAATGCCTCATGTTTCCTTCAGCCCAAATTAGAAAAATTAAAAATGCTTCTTCAAATAAATAAGAAATTGAAGAATTTCTGTACGAAAATGATTTATCAATTTAGTGATAGTACCATAAACGTAATTCGACAAGAGGTAGCTAAAATATTAAAGCTGGTCTGACTATGAAAAACGAGTGATAAAAGACGAAAATATTTATCGAGAACGATAAAACGATAAAGATGAGGATACTTTATCATTATTAAATTTATATTTTGTATACTAATAATTATATTATGTAGAAATGTAATGAAATAGAACGTAATAAATTGTTACTTTGTACTATTTTTTTATACACATGTTTCAAGAATTGCTCGGCGAAAAAGGTTGAAAACATACTTGTATTCCGCTTGTTAGTTTACGTAAATAAATTCCTAGAACGGTCCTGAAATGGTTACGGGTAAGGGTCTATTCGGCAGGGTGTTCTATAAGGGGCTGCGATTTTGGAGTAATAAACAGTAGACAAAGTTAATCACGCGGTCGGTTGTAAAAGCACTACATTTCTGGCCGAGTATAACCCAAAAGTGCAAAAGGTTTAGCGTGAAACCTCAGCGGCACTTTTGGAGTGTTTATAATAATAATATATCTTTATTTAGCATTATGCTGCATAAAAATACAAAACAGAAATTTTAAATATAGAAATAAACTAAGAGCTAAGCACAAAAATCAAAATTTGGACAATACATGACGTCTTCAAAATTACCATAATTTCATGTATTGTAAGAGTAAATATCTCTGAAATAGGTAACTTTTTCACAAACGTAATCGGAAACACAGTCCTTTTAAATTTTAAAAATAAATAAATACACATTTTACATTAATTTTTACACTCAACATGCTTTGAATAGGCGTGTATCTGTTATAGTCTAACACACAATAACGTGGTAAAACACAAACCGAAACGCGCGTCGAGTACCTGAACTTGAGTTTCGGTTTGTGGTAAAACGCCTTATTGTGTGTTAGTGCAGTGCCGAAGTTTCCAGTCAAGAGTTTGATACTGTTATAGTCTGTTTCGGTCTTCATCTTGTAGGCTTTAGACTTAAACTAAAAAAAATATTCTTACTTCAGTGACAAGGCAGGGGTGGCCCAGGTATATTTCTTTCTTTCTGACCTATTTCTTTAGTATGGATCATTTGTGGCAGTGTTGAATACTCGTTTTTACTGTGCGTTTCGAAAAAGTTATTTTGCGAGAACATAACAATGTCGCGTCAAAATCATTTATCGTTTGATGCAAAATAGGTTGTGAAAAATGTGTATGAAACTTTAATCAGTAGAGGACTTATTCGACAAGAAGCTTTAAAAGAAACCTGTCTACTTACCAAAACGCCATAAGGGATATTATTAAAAGTGGAGAATTGAAGAATAAGAATAAATGTGATTCGCAAACTCACCGTACAGACAATTTTGGACAAACTGAAAAAGAAGCTAGAATAAGATGAAGCCAACATTTTTTTTTGTCATAGGTTGGTCTAGTGGTAGTTGGGCTATTGGCCAATTCCAAAAGGTCAGGATACGGAAGGTTTTGGTATTAACAATGGGTAGGATGTAATGTAGTTCGGGTTAAAAATATAATAAAAGGAACTAAAAAGAGTGATTTTGATGATCACCGATTCGTTGACTTCGTACACGACTCAGGTTATTAATAACGGAGCATTTAAAAGTAACTCTGAATATTTTATTACGTTTTTCGCCCATTTCAATGTTAATTTTACCCAATAGTACACAGAACGACCACGGAATTCTTAATTTCCGCAAAGCGAATATAATATAACCTTAAATACGACATTGCGCGCATGCGCGTTTCAAAAAAACTTGACTCGAAATCTCGCGGTGATAGGACAGACCGCTAAGATAGGTGGGGTTCTAGTCCATGGCATTCGAGAGATAACAATATCAAAAACGAAACTTGTGACAAATCGTCATTTTTATTCTTATTGAATAAAACAATATTGTTTCTATGTTAAATGGTTCGTATTACTAAGGAAAACATTTAATTCTCGTTATCCAACTGTGTGTAATTTATAATATTGCGTATGCGTAGCTATTTTTTCGCAGAAACTTTCGAGTTAAAAGCGTTATACTAAGATCGGGTAGCGTTTTCTAAGCATCGCATCGTTCGGCGAATACGTCGGTTCAAAAGTGAAAGTAAGGTAAAATCGAAACTTAAAGTCGTTAGTGTTCGAATTGCAACTGTTATGGACCAGTTGTGCGGCCTCCGGGGAATATACATAACGTTATGTTTCGATTACAAAATATATCTGACAGGGTCATAAATCTCATTTTAACCATACCCGAGTAACAGCAAACACGAAAGTAAAATACAAGACTCGGCGTTTTATGGATTTATTTCGCAGTTGACGGATGGATAATGAAACCCTATGAATCCCTTTTGTTCCGAAAAATAGACTCATTCAGCTTCTACTAACTCAGACCCATAAACGACAAATGCAAATGCGACATAAGTCTTGCTTCATGTGCATAATTGAAATGTTTTCAGTGCCATCTAGCCGTCAATTGAGAAACGCCGTTGCTGGAGATCGGTTGCTTCTTTCTGTTACTCTGTTACATTGTAATCCTGCCGGCTGGCAGAGGTCGCGCTTGCATGGATTTTATTAAATGGAGAGCACGGTCGATTGCAGAAACCAAGGTCAGTTAGAAGTATGTGATTGGTTTTTGGGCGCACATGAGTAGAGCATCGTTCTTCTTCTTTTGCGGGTTTAAAATTCGTTTAGGCCCTTTGGCCTAGGATTCTTGCCTTTTTCTTTTCTTTGCTTATTGAAAACATATCCATTAAAAAGGCATTTTAAAAGACCCACAAAGATGTATCCCTTAAGTTTTTTGCACAGAAAATATCTAGCATAAAATTCGCCGCTGTTTTTAAACGCAAAATAATTTGGGATTAGTGCACGGGCTTCTTTGACTTGTGCGTGAAACTTCACTACTCTCAATAATAGGATGAAAAAGTCTAAGTAGTGGTTACAATGGATTATCATTCTGCTTTTGGTCGATAGTCGATGTACAAATAAAGTGAACTGACTAAAATGGAATATAGAAATATAAAATGTTCAAAAATGCGTTTCGGTTAGTCATAAATCGACGAGAACAGGTTTTTAAATAGCACTTTACACATTTTTTTCAACATTGATTTGTCAGAGGCCTGAAAAGAAATCCGTAAATAAGAAAAGTCTTTGCCAATGGAAAACAATTAATTGTAAAAGGCCAAATCAGAAAATTATTGTTACTACTAGTAAACATTTTGTATCAATACCTAATATACTTTATGTGAAACACTGGTTGTGACCACTAACTTTTTTTGTTTCTCTAATATAAAAACACAGAAGTTTGAGGAATTTTTATGGGTTATCTGTCTTTTTTGTGTTGAGGGCAGGTAATTGTTGCAATTAAAGATGACGAAAACATCAGGTAGATTTTGATAATACCTTTTATTCTAAAACTTGGAATATTACACATGAAAGACAGTAACAGGAAACTCGTTAGCGTACTTTCCTAAGCTCGCCCGTCTGTAATTCAATGCCAGGTTCAATGGCACAGGCAAATCGTAGCACCTGAAAAATAATCAACTTATCACCAACAAAACTAGAAATGAAGCGACACCCAAGGGTCCTGAAAAATTATCGAAAAAATGAAAGGTAAGTAAATAAATATGACACATAGTTGAGACTTTATAATTTATTACAATTTATCGGAGCAAAACTCGACTCGCAAAAATACACCCGCACCTACGCACACTTAAGACAACTTTGAAATTACCTCCTCGACTTGGTCTTTAGTTAACATGTGAAATAAGTTTTGAGGCGTCATTGTCATCACCTCGACATTGGAGGAGTTGAGCTTTTCCTCCATGACCTGCTTCAGGATGGTCAAGGCAGAAGAGGTCGCCTCCTCCAGGGTCATGCTGCGATGGTAAACCTCCTGCAAGCTCTGCTGCGCCCCCTCCGAACCCGATCCAATGGCTTTCGCGTCGAACTGCACGAATGTCCCTTAAAATTCAAATTTGAAAAGTCTACAGCGAAAATAACACTCAGAGTTACCCGAGGGGTCCATGTGGTAAAGCTGTGGCCCTTTTTCGTCGATACCGGCGAATAAAATGGCCACTCCGAACGGTCTTGACATGGCGGCACCATCGTCGTCCGAATCTCCAAACTGAATAGCCAGGTTCGAAACGGACTGCGCGCACGACTCGATGCTCATTTTCTCGTTGTAGACGAACCAATGGTTCTGACATTCCAAACGAGCCCTAACGAATCTGAATGCACTAAACGTTGCAATTGAACGTCTTATACTAACTTGTCTATCATGGTTCTCGAATCGGCCATCAATCCAGATACAGCGCATCCGATGTGCTTATCCACCTCGACGATTTTTTCGATGGTCGTCGGCTCCATAAGGGGAGAGGTGATCCGTTTTTCGACAGCTAAAACGACGCCCTCGCTAGTGCATATTCCGATAGCCGTCGACCCCAATTTAATGGCTTCTATGGCGTATTCGACTTGGAAAAGGCGCCCTTCGGGCGAGAACGTGTTCACGCCCCGATCGTATTCACTTCTCGTGAGAAACATCGTCTGAAACGATTATAGGTTAAGCCATGACCAGCGGTTTTCGTAAACACAAAGAAAACCTAGTAAAATTTAAACTATTAGACTACAGAAAACTGTGAATGGTATTACCGAATGCTTTGAATTTCAAAAATAAGCAATTCCCGTTTAAATTCAAAATTAAAAACAAATAAAATAATCACCTATCACTTCCAAAATGTATAAACAGCTATCTTTCACAGAACGCCAGCGTTTCGTTTTGACGGCTAGTATTCTGTGGAAACGACAGATTCCTCTACTTTTTTGCTTCTATGGCTAAGACTAGGAAGGATAATGTCCAGTATTTCCTGTGTCGGGTAAACTAGCTAAAGACATTCGTTCATAGCGAAAATGGAACTTAGTTAATCTAAGCTTGCCAATGCGATATATTAGAAGTATTGATAATATGAAATATAGTTTTATTGTTTTTAAAATTGAAATTCGATCGAACTTGAGCTATTTGTATTCGCAACAGTAGGACGGATGTAATTCATAAGAATGCAGGTCTTAAATGTAGAGTATATTTTATTAACAAATATTCCGGATGCTTCCTGCGTCGATTGTTACTGAATCGAACTTGTTGACGTTTCACCAAGCACCTCGATGATCCCTGACACCAGAATTGTACAATTAAAATTTTACATCGGGAACAAAAGACAAATAAAATAACCACCTACAATCTGCAAAATTAATCGACCGCAACATCGAGGTTATTCCGTGAAAACGGCCATATCTTCACATTTTGATGTGTGCACTGTGTGGGGTTCCTGGTTAAAAACCCTGGTCAGATTTAGTAAGTAAAAACTAAGAAAATAAATATCGGATTGGTTAATCTGAGACAACAATGCGCTTTAGAAGTTCGCCTATGAACGTTTTTGTCGATATTGTTTTTCTTGCGAAATATCGTAATGCTGTATGGGGAAAATGCCTCCGGGAATTGGGCACAGAACAAATCCTTCTTCTACAATTTACTTTCCGATGGGAAGGTCATCAGAGGATATTCGTCCACTTGCGATATGCGTCGGGGTGTTCTGATCGCGCCTAAGACGGCCCTTACTAACTAAACGAAAGTAACAAGATATTTAGAGAACAAGAAGTCTTCCAAACTGGTAGTAGTGATCAAAAAAACCGACAGCTTAGTGGTCCGCCCAATACCTTGTCCCATATGTGTTTATGGTAAAGTGTAATATCAGAAGTTAAGAATAGAAGACGAGTGAGAACGGCGGGAGGTGTAACTATGGTGGAGAACGGAGATGACGGTAGCGAGATACGCTACGCGCCAATTTCGGGATTATTTGTTTATTTTTTTATCAAATATGTAAGCCTGTAATTCCGTTTAAAAGGAAAATAGAATGTACAACATCAGTTGTTGTTTATTTCCGATGTTCTAGCCTAGGCAACACAGCTTGCGACAAAACCTTCCATGTAAATGTTTTTTTTAACTGTTGTTAAATGTGTTAACGTACGGCAATGTACAACTCAGTTTGGGAAAGCGTTTGCAATTATTTTTTGAGAAATTGCTCAGCTTCGGCACTGATTTATAACTTGACTAAGAATGTGCAACTGAAATTATATCTAGTATAGCCAGTTTTTATCTAAATAGTGAGAAGACAACTTAATTTGTATTTTTGATGGAAAGAAAAATATCGGTTAAGGTTATTTTTGTCATATTCGACAAAATTTCAAATTAAGACCGAGAAAATGGATTCAAGAAATATAAAGAGAAGGTTCTCGAAAATGAGTCTTACAGAAATAGCTTTCGGAAAGTGTAGAAACTTTACAAAATGAGATAGCGAGTTAACATTTCTTTAACTTTTCATTTTCATGCATGTGAGTTTCCTTTTAATCTCCATGAAATTGAAAGCACTGTCAAATCAACAGGAGCACTACTAATAGTAAAGATTAAGTTTGTCTGATGAAAAGTAGTTTTTATTCATTAATTTGTTATTCTGTGTTAATAATACGATATCTACCGAAGATAAGACTTTTTAAAACACTTATACACGGCTTCTGAATGAAATTTCTAGACCAATCTGTCCTATTCTACTAGCGTCATCTCTTATTGGTCGTTTGAACTAATTAGCGAAGCAAGCGTCGAAATATGACACGGATGGAGTAATTTTCTATGAATTTATAACTGGAATTCGTATTTTGAAACCCTCAAAAATCAATTTCATTTGGTTTTCCGTTTCCACCGTGCTTTTAAAAAAAGTCATCATCTAGTAAGTACACTTTATTGAATAGATGCGAATTTTAAGTAATAAACACGATTTTTACATAAGGTATGGTAGGGTAAGGCAAAGCCATCTATAGCTTTTTAGATAGGCAAAATAAAATGTTAATAATTTTCAATATATATACACAGTAGCTCGCTTTATACACAATTTTATACACACACAGCTTCAGTTTTGGTAAGAAGCCAGTGAAGCTCTACGATTTTCGCGATAATTTAATAAATACGAAAACAAATTCAACGATTCGTCAACTGTCGTAATACTGATGGCGAAATAAAAAAAGAAACGAAACACGCACAAAAAATATGAGATTCCCAAAGTCCCTTCGAAAACGATAGTCCTTTATTTGCACGTGTACTCTTCCGTCCTTTCACTACACGTGTCGCACTCGACGCGGCAACACCAATGAAATTTACACCTGCACTGAAACGTCTTCGTGTACTGGTGCGTGTTGTAACCTCTGCCGCAGCACATCAGGTCGCACCCTTCTGTTCCTGCGGGAGAAAAAAAGCGAATCAGTCGCCGAACAAACTCCAGAACGTTCGCGAACCTCTCGACGTTCTGTTGCAACTCCTGCCCATAGTCCCCAGGGAACCTGACGATAGGTCCCTTTCGCAGTAATTCGGCGACAATTGCAAAAACACCAGCTCGGACTTCTTTGGCATCTTCTTGATCGGAACTTTACCTTTCGTGAGCACCAGTTGCATTTTCCGATGTCTTCTAACGGGCTCTGAGTTTCGGGGGCCCAACTGTGCCGAACTTCCGGCCACGGTCCTAGATTAAAGTCAATCGTTTAAACCGGTCGTTAGAAACAGGGATTTTGTTAAACTGGAAAGGAACAGGCAGCCTTATGAAGGCGCTGTCTCATAAATTATAATGGCTTAATTCTTTCGGCAATGGACGAATGATCCTTGTAGTCATGCCCAACAGTTTTTTGTGAAACGCATCATTGAATTGAATTGGATTAATTCTTCCTTACGTGCAGTTGGGCAAATCAGCTAAGATCATTCTCCCAACCAGAGAACTAATGAAATTGTCCACGTTACAGAAAAGCAAAGAGAATTAACTATGGCATTTCTGCTATCTCTTCGCTTTCAGAATATTTTAGCGCCATATAAATATTATTCCACCTTAAGAGTTAAATCTTAATATTCTGTGGTATTGGGAGAACTAGGCGTGAAATGTAAGAGACGAAGGATTCTGTGGTTCACATATCTTGTAAACGGATGGATTTGAAAACCACGCAACCATGGTTCTTTGTTGCAAATATTCAAGTATCATTTTTTCAATCATTTTTGGTTTCCCCAAAAGCCATCTTGTTTTAGGACATACTCTGGCAATTATATAGTATAGCACAGGAGGCTAGGTTAGGCACCAATGGTAGTGATCCAGGGCACATCAATAGTGGTAAAAATGGATGAATTCAAACTTCTGAGTGAGAATCAGGGAGATGTTTTCCGGTGGAAGTACCAAACCGGACTTGTATACATTTCTAAGTTTGTCACCAAGCAAATAATTTATTGCTCTTGCCGTATTCCATCATTTTTAATCATTAAAGAACACAGTAAGTATGTTGTCTTTTATAGTTGTTAAACTCGCGATAACAGTTATTTTGAGCATGTTGGTTAGAATTCGATGCTTTCTTTTCAGAGTCGAAATTTAACCTTTTTGTAAATTGTGGTTTTACTCGTTTTATTTTTGTTAACGCGGATTGACTTTTGTTGGCAAGATGGTTGGGCTTCTTACTCCAACAACCAAACGGAAGGGGACATTTTGAACATTGTGTAGTGGTGTAACTTTTTTACTTTTCGTTTCACAGAAATGTGTTTTCTATTATTTTGAAAATTTATACTTCTTACAAATGTAATAATTTTGGTATCTGTAAATACTACTGTGTAAGTGATAAAGTTTTAATGATCATTCTGAAGCGCAAACTGAGGTACCTAAAATAAACACATTGTTTTTGTTGCCAGATTTCGCGATGATATTTATAATTCTGGTAGGTTTAATGATACACTTGTAAGGTTTCCTATATTTAAAACCTCCAAAATTCTGGGATCCCAAGAATGTAAACACTGCTGTCAGCATTTTCGAATTTTGTGCGTTCAAAAACCTCCATGTATTAAATTTGATCGTTCCAATGTTGGCAGTTTTGGACATATTTAAGCATTCCTGTCCTGTAACAAGATCTTTGAAAATCAACTGATTTTTGAACCATAATTATGTTCGAATCGTGCGTCAAATTAAAAACTAAAATAGAAAAACTAGGACGTGGATTTTATTCCTGCAAAATTTTGTAAAATTTCCCTGTTAAATTGGATAAATATAGCAGTCTGGCAACGGTGTACAGGCGGACGCGATTGGGCGACCACAGTAATGATTTCTCCATCTACTAGATACGTAAACTGCAGCATTTCTGGAAAAGACGTCCAGGGTTGCCAAGCTGTTTATGCTCTCTATAAACTCAACAACAGAACAGAAATCAAGCGAGTATTTGCTTGTAACAGTAAAACGGTAAGTTGGGAGTACCGTTGCACTGACTACACTCACTCGTTGCGGTTGTTTGGTCAATGACCACGAGAATACTGAACCTAACCTTTTTTTATATAGAAACGAAGTAGAAAAAGAATATTTTTTCACTTCACTTCAAAATTGTGTATTTCGATTTTGAGAATTAAATATTTATTTTGTAATTTTCGAGTATTGTAAGCTGGGCAAATGGCCTGAGTTGCTGGGCCTTACAAACCAGTAAAATAAGTTTTTTTTTCTAAAATATTTTCAACAGTTTCGCATTTGAACTAACCTCGCTCTGTAGTATTTCTTCATTAAAATATCTCCTATTTGTCTGAATGTCGGCAAGGTTTTCCAGCAAGTTTTCATCGTGCAGCTGCCTGACACTCCGTGGCATTTACATTCAACCAGAAGATTCATTTTGACCGCCTGAAAACAGAAAATTACGATCATGGCCTACATACTCATAATAACAATAATAAACCTTCATATATTATTGTTTTGAGCAGATGTGAAAAATCATTCTACTTTCTATTTTTTGGTATGGTATCTAATATTATCCTCGAAATTAAATGAGGGAAACGAATTTTAAGCGAATGATGTAGTTACATACTAAACTCTTATTTGTGTAATCATTGATGGGTCTTTTAAAGCATCGATCCGTTTCTCCAATAGCAATTTTAGGGCACATGAAGATTTTTTAACATTCGATTTATCGTTCTTTCAGTATTTTCCAACGTTGTTCTGAGTTTGGAGTTCAACTTCATCTGATATCGTGTGCAAAAGAATGAAAAGCGATTGTTTTTTGTTAGTGATAGTTAATAGAATTATTTCGTTCCATCTCCGTAGTGAATAGTTTGGTAAATTGTGATTAGTTATGTTTGGTTACTTTTGGTTAGCTTTGTTTTGGTTATTTCAGCTTCAATGACACAAGTAAAAATTTCACCCACACATCTATAATCACGAAATGAAATGATGACGGCATGTTTTTCCTTAATTATACGTAAAAATTCCTTCAGTCAATTCAAAATAGTTTTGATCTAAATTATCTAAACTATCAATTTTTTTTGATTGATTGGACTGATTTGTCTTTGAGTGAGAACATAACCTCTTCTATAATGTCTATTATTATTATTATTTTACGAGCCTAACATATTGGTGCAAGGTAAAGGTGGTTAAAATTGTTTGGTTGCTTATAGATTTCTATGGATTCTCAAATTTTTTTGCGTACTATTCTTTTGCTACGACCGTTAGTTTTTGGGTACATTTTGGCAAAATAAAACCAATATACTGACATGACCGTCAGAATTAACAAACGTCAAAATTCAAAGCGTGGGAAATATCTGCGAAAACATCCGGGAAGCGTCACTTTGCCGCGTCAGTTTTGTTTCCCACGGATCCGAGCCGCTTCGGACATTTCCGCGATTTTACCGCACGGGTTTGGGAGCAATCGGATGTTTTCGAAGGTTTTACCGCACGGTTTGAATTTTGACGTTTGTAAATTTTGACGGTCAATGTATCCGATATTTTAAATACTACGTGTTGGAAATAAGTTTTGCACATTAGAATATTCTAATTTTGTATTCTTAAAGAATTAAACATCAACGCGAGATTTAGGAAATCTGCGGTTCTAAAATATTTACAATAATTATAATAATAAATTGCCTTTATTGTTGTATATTGTTATATACAAATATACAGTAGAGAAGGGGCAAAGTCTAGCAAAAGCTACTACGCCTAATCTGCTAGATGTTTAAATTGAAAACTAAATAGGAAGTTATATATAGTATAATAGATAAATGTAATAGTAATATGGAACACTAGAAATTCATTAAAAGTAAAAATTAAAAGAATAACATTGAAAATCGAATTATTTGAGAAGTTAGCAGTTTCAACCTGAAATATTCTTCAAAGAATTTAATTGAATGGGATTGTACAAAATCGGGTATACTATTAAAAATTACAACGGCGTTATAAGAAAATGTTCTGCGGAATAAAGATAAACGATATCGTGGCAGTGAGAGTCTGTTGTTTTAATCTTGTTGAAGTATACGAAAATATGACAGGCCTAACAACTTTACGTTGTTATTTAACGCGTTTAATTTAATTAGTTTAATTACAAGGCACTCGATGACGGTCGCTTCTTCACTGCAAAACGCCCAACGCCGGATGGTTATTCAGATATGCCAACATGGCGTCGTACCTGACCGACGACAGTTCCTTGTGTCGCGTCAGCCGCATTTCCAACGTCCTCAGGCGAAACAACGTGTCGTTAATATCGCGAAAATACTCGCGTTCTTCGTCGACCGTCAAGCTATCGTGATGATGAGTGTACCACATCTGCTTCTCCTGCACCGTCTCCGACACCCTCTCGAAAGCGGTTTGGATCGCGTTCGCCCTACTCAATAGCGACCGTTTAAAATCGTCCAGGCAGCCGTATTTGACGTCCGCCGCTTCCTCACACGTCAAACTCGCGGGATTCCCCAATCGCGCCAAGTACGGCGCCAGATATTCGATCTCCTCCTCCACCTCCCTCTCCCTGCGCGTCCTCAACATCTCATCCCGCTCCAACATTCCCAGTTTGTGCTCGCGGTTCCGCTCGCGGTCGTAAATCGACACGTCCAGCTTCGGGAACGCCATTTCGTGGGCGCGCAGCAGCAGAAAGCTCTCGATTTGTTTCTCGAACTCGCGCACGCTTTCGATTACCGCTTTCTCGTCGCGCAACTGCCGCTCGAGCTCGAGGAAGAGGCGTAGCTGACCGGGAGGCTTCGCCCCTATGCGGGCCTGGTAACCGCTCGTCAGTTCCGCTTTGAACGTGATCCCTTCGCCATCGGAAACCGGGGGTTTCACGAAAGTCCTGGTCGAAGCGGTCACGTTCTCCGGTCCGTAGTGATACTTGATGCGGATCTCGCCGTTTTCCAAGTCGAATTCGCGGATCCTGACGTCGTCGCACGCCGATGCGATCGATTCGTCCCGTTCGAATCGTTGCACGATGTTGAGGATCTTTCCGTCGGTGCCTTTGGCGTAATCCGTGCGGCGATACGCCATTTTGTCGTCCCGTCCGCGATAATGCTCGGTTAGGCTGTGCTTGGAGCGCTCCACGCGCGAAAGCCCGTCGAATCTAGCGCGGTGATTGAAAAAAATCGTACGCTTGTCGCGTTTCGCGACGTCATCTTCCCCGTAGTCCAAATTCCCGACGTTTTGTCCCGTTAAGGCATCGTTCGCGACGGCGTCTTTCTCGTTTCCATCCCTTACGAAACTTTGCACGGTATGGGTTATACGATCATCTCTATCGTTGTAATATACGTGTTTGACGACGCCGTCCTCCCTGCCGTAGTCGAAATACTCGACGTTTCGTCCCGTTCGCGCGTCGACCATGCGTCTCTTCAGCTTATCGCGTCTGTTGACGTAGATCTCCTCGTCTAGGGTGTCCCTGGTGATGCGCGCCGTCAGTCCGTCTTCTAAAACGTACGGCGCGTATTCTTCGACGAGCGCTTTTTTATAGTGCGTAGTGCGACACCCGTCGGGGTATCGTTTCGCTAACGCTTCGTGCGGCACGTCTATTTTCGACGACCACGACGGCGGCATGTCCAGGTGCTTCTCGTCGTAGACGTCGTCCGCCTCTTCGTCGCCCATTTCCGTGGGTTTACGACGACGCCACTTGAGCGGCTCCCCTACCAAAAGGTGTTCCCATTTGTCGACGTCGTTCAAGTCGAAGCTCGCGCGTTCGCCGCCATCTTGCACGTTGGCCCAGTAGTTTTCGTGGTTCCATACGCCCTCGACTACGCCGTAGAGGTCCGAGTCAAGATGATGGGAACGTCCTGTGGACGGCTCGACGAATACCGATTCCGGAACGTCCGGTTGGCCGGCCAACAGCAAAACCCACCCGTGCACTCGTCTACCTTCCAGTTCGTCATGAGGTCTCTTCTCCTCCTCCAGCACCCTCCGCTTCTCCTCCTCTTCCACGCGTCGCCGTTCCTCTTGGAGTCTGAGCGACTCTTTCTGCTTCATCATCGCCAGGAACTTGCTCTCCAATTTCCTAGGCTGCGCGACGCGATACTTCCCTACCGCTGCTTCCTCGACTTTTACGGCGTCGTCTTCCTCGAACGGCGGATACGGCGAGTCGACTCGCGTCATGATCCGCATCGTAACGTCTTCTACGGCGTAGCCCGATACTACGAAGGCGTCGTAGCCCATGCCGACGAGGAGAGAACACAACACGGTGGCGATTTCGAAACAGTGACCGCCTTGCTTAGCGAACGTGGTGTGGGGGGAGCGCAACCTTGCGGGCAATGCAACCGGATCCTCCAAGGGCTCGTATTGTAAATAATCGGCCACGAATTTGGCGCATTCGCGCCACGCGTCGATCTCCGCGTGGCGCAGCGTCATCGGTCTGATCGCGGTCGACACCATTTTCGGCAGCCCGCACTCGTTTTCGCACGCCAGAAGCAGCTTCCTGCGCGGGAACTTCTCGCCGAACTGCCTCCTGAAGTTTTCCGCGTACAAAAGTAAAAGCTTCTCCTTGGCGGAATTGCTCCGGTAACTACTCGGAAAATCATGTGGTGGTTGTGGGATTTCGGGCCAACACAACTCGATCCGACCCAGTTCTCGGGTTATCTGTTTCAAGTAATCGGTGGTGATGGCGATCGGGTCCCTCAACGATCTGGGAAGGTCCAACTTTTCGAGAAAGGAAACAGGTCTCGTTTCCCCGTCTTCTGTTTTAACTTCGCTTTCTGTGCCATCGGAATCTTGCCCTACAACGTCCGACTCAAATACATCCGGCTCTTCGTTAGACATACTGACGCGTAATTTCTCCGTCGCTTGGCAACGCAAACAATGTCCGAATCGATAATGTCCGTGTGCCCTTTTTAGTATCTCCGAATTTGTTTTCAGATGAGGTTTTACTAGCACTCTCTATGTTTACTATAGATAAAGAAAATAAACAGATATTGTGACTTAAATTGAAGAGAAACAAATTTATTGCAATTCGCACTATGGTTAAAACATCTTCAATGAGCATTTTACCTTTTTTGAAGGATGATTTCATTCTTTCTTTCATACTTCAGGCATACGTGCCCTTTCTAACTTGCAATCTTAACGTTTGCCGTAGACAAAAAAAAAAGAAATAGATGTTCAACTTAAATTGGAGAGACACGGTGATTTCGTTCCGTCTAAACTTCGCTAACTGTAGTGAGTGAAACGTATTCGCAAATTTATTTTCCGATAGAATACGCACTAACCATGGCAGATGCGCGGACTTACGCGCAAATCGTTCATGGAATGCCCAAACACAGCATATGAGGGAAATTTCGACGATTTTCTAATGGCAACAGACGCCTCAATTGATTATGTGTCTAATGTGTGTAAATAAGAAAAGTTCATTGTTGTTTTACTTTAAAATAAATATTTTCCGATGGGGTTTTACCTGCAATGTCAATTTTTGCCTTTTATAAAGAACAGAAATAGATGTTTTGGAGAACAAGGAAGTTTTCAACTTTTCGAGAAAGCAAACCGTATCAACTTCATCTTCTTTTTTAATATTGCTCTTACTTTTTTATTCTTATTCTTTGTTCATTAGACTTCATACTGCCAGAAATACTAACAGATTGTCGAACTTCCATTGTCTTTATTTTTTGTTTACATCACTTTTCACGACAGCAGCCCACCAGTTTTTTTTTTTTTTAATTTTGTTATAAATTGTTTTAGATTACAAAAATAAATCACAAACACGAAGTTTTTTGCATTTCTTGTGACACACCCTGTATATGGTATTGTATTTTAATCTCCAGCATATGTTATCGCGTCTAACCGAGAGTCAATTGTTTCCCATGGCCTTCGCAAATTCGGCCAGTATTTTTTAAAAAAGCGAATCGCTCTCCGTTAATTGACAGTTTTCGAATGATGAATCCGATGCCTAAAAGAACGAGCCTTTGTCGAAGAAAGACTTTTTTTGCACTCGTCGGTGATTGGAATTCGCCAGCGACATTCTACTGCTTCCGATGGACAAAGTAACAACGTTCGAAGAATGTTATTTACGTTTGGGTGTGGTTAATACATCTATTAGGAAATATTACATCAAAAATTTGTATTGAACTGGTGATTAATCAACAATCCGATGGTTTCTGATTAATTTCTGATTAATTAGATAAATATATTTCATTATAATTTTTATGCATTATGATTTGTCATTCAGATAGACTAAAATAAATCTTTTTTCTTTAATTTATCAATAAAATCTTTTTTTTTTTGCTCAATAGATAATTAAAACTAATTACTAACTTGCAAAAAAATTGACACTTCTTTGGTTAACGTTTTAAGTAAACACTGAATTCAGGTTCCATAACTTTTGAGTTTAAAATTTAAAGAATTTTTGAATTTCAATTTACATGACTCGATTGCCATCTACCTTGACATTTATGAAACGTCCACCGAACCATGTTGAAAGTTCATCATCTGAGTACTGTTTACAAACACGGAATCGCATCGTGGAAATTTGAAATTTTTGTTTGTCGTTTTTGAACTTTGAAGTTGTAGTAACATCCTCTTAAAATAGATGAATATTGTGCATAAAAAATGTTTTAAAAGTCTAGTTTTAAACTCTAGGAAATTTTAAATAAGGAAGTAATAGAATTGAATCACATCGATAAAAACTGTAACATACAAGCAATATTAAATAAAAACCAGATTTTTCTCATTTCAGTTGAAACCGTTTTAAATATTTTGTTGATTGCTCTTTAATTTAATTCTAAGGGTTGAATAGGATTTTTATCGCTTTTTGCTCCTTTTTATAGGTACAAATTTTCCGAAGTAGATTTGTGGGACTTTATTTTTTAATGAAAATCTGACAGCGGATGGTTATAAAAATATTTTGCAAGCATGTGTTCTATTTTTGGAACGCTTGCCATTAATTATTGGAGGGGGTGTGTGTGAAGTGTATAAATTAAGGGTTAGGACGATGTTGGGCTTTTTTTGGAAGATAGAATTTTCCAAACCAAAGCAAAGTTAGAGGAAGCCACTTGAGACGCGTTTGCTTCCATCAATGATATTAACTTAGTGAAGAGTTGCCATTCAGTAAAATCCGGAAAATAGGCAGGTTCCCATGGCAACGTTGAAGAACGCTCGTATTTTGTTGGTCGAGCATTTTCATCTGCAAAACAGCCTCCGCCATTGCATAAACGTTAACTAACCTTTCTGCCGGCCTTGTTGTTGTGCAAATTCATGAGGCTTCGTTCGTCTCCTTCCAATTCTCGCGCGTCCATGAACTTCCTGGCGAATCTAACCCCGAAGTTGACGTCGACGCTGCAACCGCCCCATTTCCAGCCCTGCGGGGCCGGTTCCCGGGGCCTGGAGTTGCTCTCGCAGCCGCAAGAGGATATGTTGCCCCTCGCGCACGCCGCTGTTATCGCGAAAGCCACCCCGGCGCTGCTTATCGCATAAGTGAAGGCGGCTTCGCGGGATCCTGCAACCAAAAACGCCGTCTCACTTCCGTTTTCGAGTGGTGATGAAAACCATTCCACCGGATGATTTCAAAAATTTTATGAATCTCCGTTTGGTTTCAAGCATATAGCTAATAGACATATAGAGGCCCTGCCTATGATAATAGTACAGGAACACGTGAAGCAACTATGTAACAAAATTCTGAGAAGGTCCGTTCACCAATTTTTTAACCAATGGCAGCTCTAATTGTAAATTCCGACGTTGGACCCATATGGCCTTGCGGCCTCCAACAACCAACATGGCCGCTGGCAGGTCGTCAATATTTGGATGGTGCATTTTTGCGGCAGTATTTTCTCAAAATATGTTGTTTGTTGTGTTGAAACATGGTGTTAATTCAAATTGTTTCTAAAATATTTGGGGTATTGGTTTCGCTTAGTATTGGGAAATTTAGGATTTAACAAAGTATTAGTTTATCTTGACGATATTATAATTTCAGGTGAAAGTTTCTTTTACTAACTTTGAAGAAAGTTCTAAATTTGTCCACAGGAATCGTCTAACTTTCAAATTAGGTTAATGTAATTTCTTATTTCAAAAAAATATATTTTTTGGGGTACACAGTATCAAACTCAATAATTAGACCAACCATCGCCAACATTTTCGCGTTAGAAAATATATAACTTGTTCCAGAAAATATACATAATGTAAGAAAATTAGTAAGATTAAACAATTATCGTTAGAAATTCATTCAAAATTATTATTTATTATCATTTATATTATTAAATTCAAAGAGAAAGAGGAAAGGGAACAGCCTTATTGCTTTGAACTGGAAACATTGGCAGTAATTGTGATTTGACTGTTCTAGGAATAGTATTTATATGGGTGAAAAAGTATGCGATAAGTCGATGCTCCGATGCTAGTTGCAAGATATCTACGACAAGTTGCTTACTTCCAAAAATTCATCCTCAAAATATATTTGCGAAAATTTTGTAAGCATTATGTAAAGTGGCTAACTTTTGGCGGGCGATAAAAAAGTGTATATTTAACATTTAATCGATACTTGTATACTTTATAGTATCATTTTGCGAAACTTGGCAAGAAAATATTTTAAATTTGATCTTTGACTTAAGGAAAGCATTATTTTCGTAAAAATAATATATGGAAAAAAGTATCAAATGTTAATAAGCAACTCAACAATGATGGTTTACATCGAATTCTGAAGGTGATCACTAATATGCTCATATACATCGTTGAATTTGTCTTTGAAAGGATTTTCCAAAAATGCAATAAAATGTAGGGTGTTCTATTTAAAAAAATGTAACTTTGTTTTCCGCCCCGTGTGACGATTAGGAAAAAAATAAAGGTCATTTTAATAGAAACTATTTTTGTAATTAAATTTTGTATTACCATCTTGCTAGCAAAGACTCATCATCATCTCATCATCATCTCTTTCATCGATGTTCATATATTACATCGGATAATTTATATCATATAAGAAGATAATTTTGTGAATTTAGAAAATGTTTCGAGCGACCTCGTATATCGGCGAACACGCCCGCGCACGCTATCGCATTTTGACGAGCCCCGACGCGGCAGTTGGACTTTGTGAATCGGTTTCCGTGGGCAGTCGAGGGATGTTAATGTGCGCTTTAATTATTCAAGTTCCTCTTTGATATCGCGACGAAGCGAGACGCCGGATGAACGTCAATCGACATTTTCCGCGTAGTTTAAAATTTAATTTTTAATGTCGCAATCGCTCCATAAAAATAGATTCGAGAGTAACAAAGAGGAACGAAGAATTGGGGAGCAAGAAACTCGAATCCCGAAGCTTTTGCAAAGTATGTTGCATTCCGCTTTTTAAGAGAGCGCGATTAGTTATCTGTTTTTAACATTTTGACTGCCAAATGTTGTTTTCCATTTAATTTCATCGAATGGACATGTATTGGTAATCTTTTGTTGCAGTTTTCAGTTTTTTTAAAATAATTTTTAAATTTTCTGTTATTTTTCTAATTGAATGTCGATTTAAGATACAGGATGGTAAAATAAAATATATTTCTTGAATATTTAGATATTTTAGTGAAATTTAGCACACGTGTACTACGTATCATAATGTACCACAATTCTTACCAGTGGCGGGTCCATGCAATTTTAGCTGTGTATTTTGGCAGACATTGATGGTACGCCACTGGTTTTCCTTAAAATAAAAATCCCATGTATGGTTTTCTCAGCACAGTCATAACAATAATTTTAATTATTAATAGGACGGCACACAGAGAAATTAGGTCTTATATTTAAGTGAAAAAAAAAAGAGATCAAATCTGCTCATAAATGAACGTGAATGTTATTATTTTGTTAAAGAAAATCAGTGGCGTGCCACTAACCGTCTAGAAACAAATAATTTTTTGGTTAATTAGATCGCCACTGCAGTGGTCAAATCGAGAACTTTTTTGTGAAAAACAAAATATCTACTTTTTAGTTACTAACTAGTGCCCTTCAGAAAAAATATTAGAAGATTGTTCCTAATAATAAACGACTTTTATTAAAAAAAAAACTCCACCAACTATTAATGATGTTTAGCAAACTTGTCTGTTCATAAATTATTAATAAGGACCTTCTTGAAAAAAAGTAGAAGACAAAAACTAGATAAATTGTTGAGTGTCCTCCACACACTTCAGCTCTCTTTCTCGTATTGCGACGCATTCTTTGAAATACACCTTCAGTATTTCTTACAAAATCGCAGGAAGCTCTTATACGATGCTTCAGCTCTTCCACAGTGCTAACTGGGGTGCGATAAACAGACTTTTAAGATACCCCCACAATAAAGTCCAAACAATTTAGATCTGAGAACCTAGGTGCCAATGGTTGAGGTCTACCGCGACCTACCCATTGGTTATTAATTGTGTGATTTAAATAATCACTGACTGCAACACTAAAGTGAGCAGGCGTGTCGTGTTCCTAATGAAATTATACTCTTTTTTTCTGGGAAAATTAGCTTTATCTATAAATAGTATTTCTTGGTCAAACATGGGATAATACGCAATTTTGTTCAAAGACAATTGACACGTAAGGCAAAATCTTTGGGAAGTAACCTCAAACGGAATTTTGTCGTTGACGAATCGAAGCTGTTGAGAGATTTTTGGACAACTGGTAAATCTGGTTTTGACGTTATATTTCTTTAGAACTTTTGATATGTGGTCAGTGATTTTTTGAATATAAGGAAGGACAACAGTGGCAAGTGTGGGATTGTTTTCGGTTTCATCGTGGAAATTATTAGAGAAAAGAGCAGAAATAAAGTGTTTAAATTCTGGATTCAATAACTAGGGCTGAGATAGTTAACTAAATGTTAGGTCTGATTTTCTATTGATAAAAATATCTAAGAATGGGAGGTTGTTATTAGTTTCTATTTCAATGGTATAACGTATGTTAGGGTATATAGGGTTTAAATGTTTAGGAAAATCTACTAGGGATTCCTGACTATGAGGCCAAATAACAAAAGTATCATCGACGTAGCGTTTCCATAATTTTGGTTTTAGATGGAAGGTGTCGAAAGCTTTCTTCTCGAAGGTTTCTATAAATATATTCGCGATGACTGGTGATAGTGGACAACCCATAACTGTTCCCGATGTTTGTTCGAAAATTTGACCGTTATAAGAAATATATGTTCCAGACAAGTATTTTTCAATGAAGGTGAGAAGGTTTGATTCCAGATTCTCGGATTTTAATATATCTGAAATGATGGTGATAGTTTCAGGAACAGGAATTTTACTAAAGAGGGATTCTACGTCGAAACTAACCAGAATATCTTGTGTATCTAATGTAATACTTTTTATTTTTTCAATGAAATGAAAGGAATTAAGTACGAATCTGTCATTTTTCCCTGTAAAGGATTTTTACAAGAAAGGTAGATATTTTGCTGACAATAGGTAGAAGGGATAATCCTGGTTTGTGAATCTTTGGGAGTCCTAAAATTCCTAGAATTTTAGAATCGTGAGAGGTGACAGATGTTTTCAAGCAGTCCGATTGAGAAAAAGTCTTAATGATAGTTTTAAGGTTGCGAAAGATTTTAGGGCAACGCGTTCAGGCTCTGGGATTTTAATTTTTAATGATTTTTGCGGTCCCAAATCGAATTTTATTAGCTATTTGATATGGTAGTTTGTTTAGGACTAGACTCGACATTTAACCTGATTTCCTCTTTTGGGATTATACGTGGGGCAAGGACAAAAACCGGCGCAAGAGGAATCCAAAAGTTTTATAAAAAGTAGTACAGTTGCCTGTCGAAGTTTCTTTGAAAAAAATATTGTTGTGACTATGCAGAGAAGAAGTTTTTATTTTTTTAAGCGAAAACTGTACATTGGAATGAAAAAAATAAGGCAAAATCTCTGGGAAGTAACGGTTGAATATAATATGGGTACAATACAAAATCGTGGAAAATTTTCCAAACCAAGACGTGCGACATATTCAGATTATTTCCAATTTTTTTATTGCCAAGTTCAAGATTTTCATCAATACAATTTAAAACTCATTCTTCAATTTCTGAAGGTCTTACAGTCCGATGGGGCCCTTTCAAATGATATTGTCTCTTTTTCACCGTGTACGTTAGATAGAGAGAGATGTATTATTGGATATGTCATATAAATAACGCAACACACACAGTTTTAAAACGTTATGTGGTTTATTTAACTTTTACAATTGATCATTGAGTAGATTATTTAAAGAAAAATACTGTAATTGGAAGAAAAATCATCCAAGGATTGAGCTTTTAAGAGGATTAAATTTTTAAGATCGTGTAAGCAGAAAAAAGCAGGCCCTCACTTGTTTTTTATTTGTTTGTACTGATGAGACATGGATATTTGAAAATGTACAAGATAATAAACAAACTGTAAAAACCACTAAAGTTCATGCGAACGGTATGCAAAATTTCTGTAGAAACATTTAAATTGTCCGATATATTGCATAACATTTTTCTGTGTATTAGTTTGTGGGTACAGTTTTGCAAAACAACACGTGTACATTCACTGACATGAC